GATGTTAATAAAAGACGTTGGTGAAAGCAAACAGCGTTGCTAAAGGTTTTGCTGGTACAGGTGCCTTTGAAGAGCTTCTTTCTACCACATTGCACAGTATTGGACTGCAGCTCTTGATGGCTGTTGTGCCTCTGCTGGTTTCTGTTTAGAAAATAGCAGTCCAGAGAAGCAGTATGAAAGCATATCCTTTGAAAGCATAATGCTGATTTTAGTGATGATAATGAAAGGACAGCCAATTCCATTGTAAACTGAGATAAAGCTTTCTAAGACTGCAATCAGATGCACCTGAACAGAGAACGTATGGGTTTGGTGTTGCTATTAATTTACTATTCAACGTTAAAAGTTGTTTCACTGTAGGGGCAGGGAAAAGATTTGATCCAAGTTTGCAACTGAAGATTTTAATTTACTACTGCTGGCAGTAGTAAAATTCTTCTCTTTAACAATGACCTGGTCATTTTGTAATTGGTCTTGTTTTGCTATAGTTGTGTACAGTGAAATGCTGTCTAGCAGAATCCCAGTGATTGGCTTTTGCTTTGTATTTATGGTAAGCTGGTCTCACTCTCTCAAATATTCATGGGAAGGTGGATGTGAAAATTCATTCTTGGGAACGGAGCCATGGGCTTGTGCTTGTGGGAACACATTTGTCCAGGGCACTGGGATCTGGTTCAAACTCCAGTTGCCCTCATGTCCAGGGATGCAGGGTCTGAGGGATTGGATTTCCCTGGAGGTTTGCAGTGACAGTTTGGGGTGGCTTTTTTTCATTTCAATCCTTGCTGGAACGAGCAAGAGCCCAAAACACTGCAGGGTCACCGAAGTGTGTCAGGACAAGGAAATGCAAAAGCCAAGGAGCTCCTCCTCCTTGGAGTTCCCTTGGAGCCCGTTTTGGCTCCAAATTCCTGGGCACAGATAAGGAGAGGAGTGACCACAGCCCTGCGTCCCTGCAGAATCCATCTCCTGTAGAGTCCCTTTCCTTCAGAGGAATTTGAGGAGGACACAGGGAACGCTGGTAGCAAACCCCCTGCATCCATCCTTTTATTTCACCCAGGTTTGTTAAGACATAAATGCCCCAAATGTGATTTTCTAAGAATAATCTTGACTTATGCAACTAATCCAATTTGTATTTTGGTTGGGCTTTTTTGGTTTTTTGGTTTTTTTTGGTGTTTTGTTTTGGGTTTTGTTTTGAGGTGTTTTTTGTTTGTTTGGGGGGGTTGTTTGGTTGGGATTTTCTGAGTGTTTTGTTTTGGGATTGGAAACACAAAAGGGGCTTTTTAGCTTGGCCAAAGCTGTGCTCATACACTGATAAAGAAATGCTGGAAACCTGTTCCAGGTGATGTGTGCTGACTTAGCACAGACATCAGGGAATATTTTACAGGAACTTTCTCTATATTTGTGGCAGATTTTCCCAGGATTCACCGTGGTACAGCACCAGCACTCAGATCAGTTAGAACTTGCATTTTTCAGCCAGTAAAATTTTATAGGTTGATCTGAGAGTCTTTTGTTCCTGAGCAAAGAGGGGGGAACTTGGGCTCTTGATAATCAATCTGTATTTTTTTATAAATAAAAGGGAATCACATGAGGAGATTTGACCCAGCTAAAGCCAGCAAGCCGTGGCTGAGGGGTTGGCTCAGGGACACTCGAGGTGTCATTAAGCAGCTGTTTTGTGCCACTGGGTTGTGTCTGGTTTTATTTTCAGCATCCTCACTTTCATAGCACTTCCCTCTGCTGCCAGCCTGGAACCAAAATCCTGGGATCCTGACAGGCTGTGCTGAAGGGGCTGGGTCTGCTCCAGGGGTAGGTTTGGAGGGAGCCAAATAACTCAGTACAGGGGAGATCCCAGAGCTGCTTTTCTCCTCTGTGGAGCCTGACCTAGGGAATGATTCCAAGTGGACAATGCCAGCAGATCCCTGGGCAGGATGGGAGCACTGGTTTTAGGCTGGATCTGAGCACTGGTCCCAGTCTGGGCAGGATGTGAACACTGGTTTTAGGCTGGATCTGAGCACTGGTCCCAGTCTGGGCAGGGTCTGAGCACTGGTCCCAGGCTGTGGTGCCACACAAAGAGCATGTTCTGATGCCCAGGGGTGGAGGGTGAATGAAATCCTCATCCCCACAGTGTGGATTTCCATTGCTCCCCAGGAGCAGGGAAGGGGCTGAGTGCTGAGTGTTCCCTGAGTTCTGAACACTCAATCACACCCAGATCCCCCTTTCTTTCCTGTTAGGAATATTGGAAGCAATATTCCTAATATTCCCAGGACATAAATAAGTCCAGCAGGTGATGGCACAGTGAGGTGTGATGAGATTCCCTGTCCAATAATCAAAGTTTGAACACTGAATTTGCTGCTTCCAAAAAGTTTTCATTTGTGCATTACTGCAAGTGGTGAGCTAAGATTTTCCCTGGAAAAAAGCAAAAGAGGAAAGGGAAAGGAGGAAAGGGAAAAGGGAAAAGAGGAAAGGGGAAAGGGAAAGGAGAAAAGGGAAACGAGGAAAGGGAAGAAACAGAGAAAGATAAAAAGAGTATAGGAAAGAAAAAGAAAGAGAAAGAAAATGAGAAAGAAAGAAAATGAGAATAATGGAAAGAAAAAAAGAAAGAAAGAAAATGAGAAAGATGGAAACAAAAACAGAAAGAGAAAGAAAAAGAAAAAAAGAGAAAAATTAAAAAGAGAAAAGAAGAAAGGAAAATTAAAAAGAGAAAGAGAAAGAAAAAGAAAATGGTAAAAATTGATGCTTAAATGTTATAGTATCTCATTTAAATTAAATTAAAATGTATGTTTGCTCTAGAGATGTAACCAATGATAACAAAGGGTGCAATGTGAGCAAGGCTCAGTATTTCTCGGTGCTACCTAATGAACTTGGTAAAGTAATGGAGCCAAAATGCAGTTTAAGGGACCCTTGATATCAGCAGAAACTCCTCTAGAAGGAGGTGCCCAGCCTGAGAAAAAAAACCTCCTGAATAAATCAGCCATTCCAGCCCCGGGAATGTTGGGAGCTGTGCCTGGCTCAGCTCTGCTCTCCCTGTTCTGTGCTCTGATCACAGGGTGAAAAGGGACTATGTTTGTAACTTCAGAAGACATCTGGAGCACCTCCCTCTCCTGCTGTTCCAACAGCTTCTGCTCCAGGATTAATAACATTGGCCTAGAAGTAATTCCAGAGGTTTCCTTGGAGGTTCTGGGGTTATGTGTGCTCTCAGGACTAAGGGCAGTCACAGCTGCCTTGTTATGGGGCTGTTGAGCTTTGGGTTTTGCTCTCAGGAGTTCCTACTCATCCAGCCAGGGGGAGCAGGGATTTGGGATTACAGGAACACCAGCAACAGTCAGAGCATCCCAGAAGGGTTTGGGTTGGAAGGGACCTTAAAGCTCATCCAGTTCCACCCCCTGCCATGGGCAGGGACACCTTCCATTAGCCCAGGTTGCTCCAGCCTGGCCTTGGGCACTGGCAGGGCTGTGGTAGCACGGAGTAACCCTGTGTCTGCAGCACTCATGGGACAAACCCAGCCCTGCAACACCTGAGGAGTCCCTGAAAACCCCTTGTTTTTTTACTAAAATCCACTAAATGCCTCTTTTGCTGTGGTGCTGTGCCACCCCTGAGTCCAGCTGTGCAGAGCAGGCGTTCAGCTCCAAAGCTTGTTCC